TTCCCTCAGCCCCGGTGCCCGGCTGTCCCGGGCAGGTTTCCCTCAGCCCCGGTGCCCGGCTGTCCCGGGCAGGTTTCCCTCAGCCCCGGTGCACGCCCGGCCGGGGCAGGTTTCCCCGCCGCGCTCCCGCGGAGTGCCGGGCGCTCCGCGGCTCCACCGCCGCTCGCCGGGACAGGGACGGGCGGGGGCCGCCCCGGAGCCCCGGGTTGGTGCCCCCGAGCTGTGCGATTGGGAGCGGGGTCAGAACCCCTTAAGCCTTTTCCGAGTGAGCGCCGTGCAAGGATGCCAGAAGGGCTGGCGGTCCGGCGCTGAGCTGGCCAGGGAGTGCTGGGCTGGGGCTCAGCCTCTGCCTCCCACCCGAGGCTCCCGGAGTGGCTGGGGTCGCTGCCCCTTCCCCAGAGGCAGTCGAGCATCCCCTTTGCCACCGCAACTCGTTCCTGTCCCGAGTGTGGTGCACGGAGAGCATCGAGCAGAGTTTAGTTACAGGAAGGGCTTAGAGGTGATTTTCGAGTTGGGAATTCTCCCTGGGAGATTCCAGCACCTGTCCTGGCAAGGGACAACCTCACAAGTAGCCTCCTGCTCCAGGGACGTGACTCTGAACCCCAGCTGTGCAGACAGACTCTCAAAACAGCACAAGCTGCATCTTTGCAGTTCCCTTTCAGAAAGGCATCTTTCAACCCCACGGTTCTTGGAGTAGTTTCAGAAGAAAAGGTTCTGGCTTAAGAGACCATATGGGAAAACATTAAGGCAACTGTGCTGTGAAAAATACACAAAATTATTTCTGTTTATGATGAAGAGCAGTCTGAGGGAGACTCCTCCATCCTCAGACAGTATTTTCCTAGGAAATGCAGAGGAGACACTTGGTTGGGACTCTTGAACAGAAGGGACAGGTGAAAGGAAGGATGGGAGGATGTCCCTAAGGGCCCCGTGCAGTCTGGACGCTGAAAATCCAATCCCTTGGTTTCTACTGCTCTTTTTACCACTTAGTTCACTCATCTGAGGTTTTGGGCAGCAAATACCACATTGGCCTGCCTCTCCAGCTCAGGGTTTAGTGATCAAGGCAAAAGAATGGTGTAGTGACAGCTATTGGACATTACTTGCATTAAGTGTAAAGGACCAGACTATAGAAAGAAATCTCTGAGCAGGGTACTTCTGTAGAGTTACTTTCCTGTTCTCCTTACGTGTGATCTTTGTTATGTGTTGTTTGCAAAATACAGCTGAGAAATATGAATGCTCTAAGTATCTTACTAGCTCAAGTTGCTCTGCTTAGGGATCTGTTATAATGCATTATGTAAGTTTACTCACTCAAGTGTAATTAGAATAATTCTTTCTTAAATCCTCATGCAGTTTCTCTTAGTCCAGTCTAACCTAAACTCTCTGCTTCTTGTATCTGATGTCACTGAGAGAATTTCCAATGATTTCAGTAAGAACAGAAACTGAACCTCAAAATAACTGTTTAAATACCAAAGTTAGACCCAGAATTCATTAAAATCAAAGCAAGCTTTGCTCACTGCACTGTGAGCAAGACAGCATTTTGCATAAGGCTGAACATTAGCATGAGCATGACACCAGTGCATAATTAGTTGAAAAACCACTTAAGTTAGGTAACTGGATCTGACTTTGGAGTCTCCTCCAGAAAAGAATCACTCATTCCTGGAAATGTCCCCAGAGATCTACTGAGTTTTACCTAAACTTTCATTAAAGTCAGTACATTTCAATAACACTGTGCTGATATTTTTCAGGTGTAGCTTCTCCTACATGGTTCTAACATGAAAGATCTATTCTTGCTTTCAATGTTTGTTTCTAAGTTTGAAAGTGACAGTGTTGAGGTAAGATAAGATCACCAGTTGCATTCAGTTAAGAGATTAGCAAGAGAATCCCATAAGTGATAGAACAACACTCAGCATAGAGATGTGTGTCTATTTACACAATAATGTGTCTGTTCTTACTACTAAACCAACATAATTGTCTTTGGTTAAAATATTTATTTGGTTAATGTTTACTTAGCTAATTTTTTTTTTACCAAGTTAGTGGTTTTTAGTCTTCATTTCTCATGCCAAAAAAAATCAACAACTAATGTGCTATGCTGGATTGTGTGATGTGACTCTATTTGTTCTCTCAATAATTATAGGGTTAGCCATGTTTCAAAGTATATGGATATAGATAAAAACAGGGCTGACACGTAAAAAAAGCACAAGGGGAAAAAATATTGTGTGGTTTCTATATTTTCCCCACAAGCACAAATTGTTGAGTAAGGAGATTTTCAAAAGCCAGAAATTGCTCTGAAGAAAACCAAAGCTGGAATCCAATGCTAGGGGAGGCTGCATCTGGCAGAACAAAGTTTGGAAAGAGGTTTTGCTTTCAGTGGGATCCTGTGTTTCCCCACAACAGAGCATATGTCATCTATAAAGACAACGCTTTCATGGGTGAGATACAATCACTGCTAAAATCAACCTCAAAATTAGGAAGCACCTATACAATGCTCTTACACAAGTGCTTTGGTTTTCCTACTCATTTGTTGTGGAAGATAAAGGTATGAAAGAAGAGAAACTTCCTGATTTTAAGATGGTGTATCTCAGATATAATAATCCCAAGAAACTGACAGTGAGAACGTGAGAATTTCAATGTGTAACCCTTCTCTTGTAGTCTAAGAGTGCTGCCAGAAACTGAAAATATGATTCATAGAACAGCTCCTTTTCTTCCCATTTTAATTTGTGTAAGATCCAAGGGGTTAGTAAGCTGCGATCTGTGGGTTTTTTTCTTTAAGGAGTTAAAAGGTCTCATGGTTTAAAATGCAAAATTAGAGAAGTTCTGTTTCTGTCTTAGAAAAGAAGCTCTGATATCTATTTGAAATGCCAGAGCTTCAGGGTGTTAAGGGATAAGAGGGTTGAAATCCATCATTATTTTTGAGTTTTATCAGGGTGATGGTGTGATAATTGTGGCTTTCATAGTGGTGTTTTCTCATTTTCAGTGAATAGCTTATCGAATCATCACGGTTTGAATTCAGCTGAAACTGAATGCTGCTGAGAAGCTCAGCTCCTGTGGCACTGTTAGACAGATATTTGGATTGGTGCAACATCTACTTACAGCTGGTGTGAGGGGACATAAATCAACAGGAGAAGTCTCATCGCAGAGTGCGTGAAGAGATTTGCTTGAGTTTAGATTTTAAAATCTTGCTTTAAACTTGAGTGTATGTCAAGCACTGAAAAAGTCCCCCATGGTTTCTGCTGGGTTAATAAGAAACATTGACAAATGTGTGACATTTTGGCCTTGTCTAACTCCAAGACTGTGGTCTTTGGAAGCAGCATTCTCCTGGCACTCTGGGATCAATGTATACACCAAGCTCCCCACTGAGACAATTGGATTCACCTTGTTCACACTCTCACTAAATCCACAAGTGCTGGACATGGCAAGTTATGGCTTGGCTCTCCCCTGTTGATACAAAAACACAATGACATGTTATTTTTAAAGCT